CTGCTACGGTGTAGAATGTGAGATGCGATTCGCACTCCTGGTCCAGGTGGACCAGGTATTCCTGTATGCATACGTGTAGCGCAATGTAGATTCTGCCCCGGGGGAGCCGCAATAGCACCTGATACGGCCGTATTCCATGGGCGTAACATGTAGAGCGGTATCTCTGGACCAACCGGTCCCACCCGTTGTCCTCGTTGCGGCCCCGAGGGAAGTATATGTACACGCTTCTGTCCATCCCGAATNGTCCCTCTATCTCGGATGCGAAAGACACTGCCTCCCTCAGGAAGTCCCACCGTCCCCCGGCGTGCGGCAGTTCGTGGTTCTGGACAAGTTCCGCGGGATGAGGAGGTCGTCGTCCGTTCGATCCTTCCTGCGAGCAGTTGGCACATGGTCGTGGATCCACGCGTCCGTGCTATCTGGTCGGCTCTGTCCCACAGGAAGTTGGCGTGCACCGACCCGTGGTGTCCACACGGGATCTGGGTAGGCTCGAGTCCCTCGGCCTGTGGTGGTGGCCCAAAGTGGCCTCCACAGTACGAACACGATCCGGTGCTACCGCCTCCGTTCGCGCCGGTGAGTTGGGGCCGTGTGTCGGGGACGGAACGTCCCGTTTCACCTGCTCGATCAAGCTCGGGCAATCTCTCACGAGCTGCTACAACCCTATCCTGCAAGGTTTCCCGCTCTCCATCAGCGAGACTCCATGCCGGGATCGTGATGGCTACTATCTCTAGGAGGCGGGGCCAAAAGACGTCACGCCTCGAATCGTGCATGGCTGGATTCGGGCACGCCACCATCCTAGAGCTGTCCGACGGCGCGGTAGAGAGCAGGTGGTTCTCCACGAAGGTCATCGCGCACGTAAGATGTACCCTGCATGAGCACGGCGCGGTGACAAGCGGGCGTTGCCAAGCCCCGTTCTGATGGCATACGACGCAGACCCCGTCCGTCGCCCCTCGCGGAGAAGGCGTTGTAGTCGGAGCAGGTGGTGACGGGCCGGGCGAAGGAGGAGGAGAAAGTGTGTAGACGTATGTGGACGGGGCCGGCGATTCTGTGGATTGTCTCCTCGTTCCGACGCGAACCGGCATGCGCGACCCGAAGTCCCGCAGCTGGCCCCTGATTGTTTCGATCCGCGCGTCTAACGCTCGCTGATCCGCTTCGTTTTCGTAAAAGTCGAATCGGGCGTGCTCCGGTAGAACGACCGTTGCTTGGAAGGCGTGATCCTGTCTTGTACGCTGGTGCGGGCACGAAATAATGTCGTGTCCGCTCGCCAGGGCGTCGTGCAGTTGATCTTCTACGAGTCCCACCGCGCATCGAGTGTGGTAGTGACATCCACAGGGCGGAGACATGGCAGCCCCTTGACCTATTGATTCGTGACAAACTCCGCAGAGATGGCGAGGCGCGTGCGTTTGACTCGCCTCCCGTGCGGTCGAGCGAGCCACGTCCCTCTCCGATCTCGCTGCTCGAAAAGCCTCAGAAACTACGTCGTTCCCGTGCTGCTGTTCCAAGCTGGTACTCGTCTCTGAGATGGTGGACCCTATACGGCACATGGGGCAGTGGAGGGTATCGCCCACTTCCCGCACGCATGCCCTCGCATAGCAGCCCACACACATCGCATGACCGCAGCTAACGAGGTTCACAGACGGTTCGCTGACATCTCCTAAACAGATGCCACACACCAGTGGTTCAGTAGGCGCTGCTGCCGTTTCCGCGGTGGCCGAAGAAGGCGTGTGTTCCGGCGAGGCCAGCGCTGTAGTTGGAGACGTGTCCCGAGGCTGGGCGACTGCCCGTGGCTCCGGCGAACGCTACGAACACTGTTCCCGCCGGGGGGGACGCTCCTCTGACTGCAATTGCTGCGATGGCGTCGACCGCTCGGGGGGCAGTGCAGTCGGGCGACCCGTTGGCTGGGCTAGATCGCTGGTATCCGTCTGGGCCAGGGACTGCGGGGCCACTCGGTCGACGTGACGAGTTTCGGGGGAACTGCCCCCCTCCGAAGGAAGAGAGGGCCCTGACTGCGGTTGACTTGGTGTGATGAGGGTAATCGGGACGGCGGGCCACGTGGGGAGCAGGTCTGCGACTTCCCCAACTGCAGCACTTGCTACGTCCGTTCTTCGGCCCGAGGGGGGAGCAGAGTCTCCCCGGCGTGCCTCGGGAGGTGTCTCCCCGGTGTCTGCCTCGGGGGGTGTCTCCCCCGGGTCTGCCCCCGGCAAATCCCCTTCCTCGGCGTGGCCTCCTCGCGGCCTACTTCCTTCTAGGGGTCGACTTCGTGCGCACGGTGGTTCTTCTGGCGCTGCATTAGCGGTCGGGAAAGGGTCGAGGCCCAGTCTTGGTGCGCGGTCGGTGACGCCTTGTGCGCTTGCTGATGTTTGGACAGGGGGGGCGGCAGATACCTGACGCCCGACCACGGCGCTGGTGCGCGACCGAGTTCTCGTCGAGATGCGGCCCTCGTTGGCAAACCCCTGGTCCCGAGTCCCGTCGACGCCCTCGTCCGAGCGCCTCGTCGCTGCCAGCCGAGCAGATGGGAGGGTGGGTTGGTCTGCCGGGCTCCGTCCCTCCCGGGTATTTGGCGGAGCTTCTCCGCTGGAACCGGAAGTGGGAACCTCCGACGGTTCGGTGGGAGACTCCGGCATCGGCGATCCCACGTCCACGCGAGCTGTTAACTCTCCCGACAAAGCTGATACGTCCGTGCGCGGCGGGGTCGACAGGAGCTCTAGCGCCGCTCCTCCCGATGGGGCAGCCGCGGACAAGGCAATCTCCGAGAATCCCGGCGGCCGGCGGGCTGGAGTCAACGTGGGCGTCTCAGAAGACGCGAGAGCCGGACCGACCGGCGTAGTCACAGAATCCGTGTGTGTCGTAGCGCGCCGCACGCGCAACCGTGTCCTTGATGAGATATGGCTACCTAATGAAGGACCTAGGCTCCCAACAGTACCTACGTCTCCCCCGGCCGAAGCCCCTCGTGCCGCCAAGACAGGTGGGAGGGGACGTGGAAAGGCCGCCCCCGCGGCCTCTCGGGTGCTACGGGTAGAAGTCCTGACGACCGCGCGCGCGATAGAACCTTGGGGGGAGGCTACTAATGACGGCGCAACCGCGCCGGGCTGGGGCGGATCGACGTCCATGCTGTCAGCCACACTATTTGTATCCCTCAGAACAGCCGCATCGGGTGAAGCCGGCCGCGGTGAAGCCCCCGGTAGCGCTGATGGGGTGCCTGTCGGCCGGGTCCTCTCTGAAGAGCGCGGAGGGTCCGGCATCTGTGGCCCCGGATTGGGTGGCGCCGCCACAAGAGCTCCCTCCCGAGAACTGCCGGGGGTCGATGCTCGTGGTCTCGCGTGATGCCCCGTAGCCGACGCGCAGACGCTCGTGCGCTGGGACGAGTGCCTAGGCCGTGCGGCTGTGACTCGTAAATCTGCTGATGCCATCGTTTGCCTGTCTCTGTTAGCTGCCGGTCTACTATTGGCCAGCGAAACCTCCGCTCCTGCACGAGCTCGCGGTGGAAGGGGTGGAGCGCTCTCGTGCGCTCCTCCCGAACTTGTACCACGTCGACGCGGTGCTGGAACCGAGGTCCCGATGGGCGGCGCGACCCCGGGGCGCCGCCTTCCCCAGTCACTGTAACGATCCGTGTGTGAATCCTGCTCACGCTGGCCAGTCCTCGCGAGTACCATCTGCTGGAATGGCGACCTCACGAACCGCAAGATGCCAGCGAGAACCCCTCGTTGGTTCTCCCTCGCCTCACCGCCCGCCGGCCGATGAGAAGCGTTTCGGCGACCCAAAGCAATTCCGTGTCGAGGCCGCTGCGGCGAAATACGCGTGCTCGGAGAAAAGGACACTCGAGGCCGCTGCTGAGGTCGGTCCGGAACACCCCCATCGAGCGACGCTGACCTCCTCCTCCTCCGGAGGATACCTGACAGTTCGGCTGTACCCTCAGCGCGTCGAGGTGAAGGCGAGAGATGTCGGGGTCGCGACCGGGGCCGCGAGGACGCGGACCCGGAGGACCCTGAGCGTCGTCGGCTTGATCCTGTCATGCGCGGCGGGGATGCGCTCGACATGTGTGGTCCGCTGGCCAACTGTCGCGTAGAAGCCCCTGTGTCTTCCCCTGCTGTGCCCCTGCCGACGTTTCCGGCCCTATCGGCCGTCTCTAATGCCGACTCCTGTTGCAACCCCCCCACCCGGCAAAGTGCTCGACATCCGTCGTCCTCTCGCGTGGCAAGCTGCCACGCTGGAACAGTTCGATGCAGGCCCCGCCCTGCCGACTGAGAGCCCTGAGGCAAAGACCTCTCGGTGGCGCAGCTTCCGTTGTTTGCACGTCCGGCAAGCTGCCACGCCGGGACAGTCCGATGCAGGCCCCTCCCCGCCGATTGAGAGCTTGGAGGTAAAGACCTCTCGGCGGGGGCCATAACCAAGCCCCGCAAACAGGAGGGGCTGTTCGCCCCCGCCTCGCCACCTCGCCGCCCGCTGCCGCTCCTCACGCTTCCGCTTGACGCGGATACGGCGTGCCGCAGCAGCCCGCCGAACTGGCTATTGGTGCTGGTACCGCCGAGTCCTCGTGCGACCAGCCAAGCCGGCATAGTCATTGCGATGCCGCGTCCCTGCGACCGAGAGCCCGGCAAACGTCGTGGGGCCCCAACCGATGGAGCGTGGGCGCGCGCGTCCTGCCCCGACGACGTGCGGTTGTTCCTTTCCTCTGTACGGGGTGTCCCTCTGGTGGTGTCCCACGTTCCTCTCTGTCCCGACTCGCTCGCTGTGTTCACGGCGATGCGAACGGAGCGGCGCCGTTGCCGACGCGGGGAAGCGCCGGTATCGTCATCCGGTGATCGACCGGATGGCCGTCGTTGTTGACGACGTCCTCGGCCGTCCATGTCTGGCGACGAAACGAAAACCGGACCATAAATAACACAAACCTGGCCCCCGTTTGGTGCAAGCGTCGTCCGACGAGCACGCGTGCCTCTCGAGCTCCGACGTCAGCCGAATACCTCGACGAACCTCGTTGCTCGTTCCGCCGCTGCCACGACACTCTCGCGATGACCCCTATCCCCCGCGAGCGCTGCTACTGCTGCTGTAGCCGCGCAAATGAGCGAGAACTCGTAGTCTACCTTGCTGTTGAGGCGGCTGGAGCGAATGCGACGAGCTGACCGAAGATCTCACGAGTTGCTGCACTCTCCCGGATACCACGAATCCCGCCTCACCAAATGAGACCGTATCCCCGCCACGAGGCTGCTGCTGCTGCGACCCCCACCACTGCTGCTGCTGCTGCTGCTGCGTGCTGCTGCCGATCCTTTCCTCCACGCACCAACACCAACACAAACACAAACACAAACCTGGCCCCCGTTTGGTGCAAGCGTCGTCCGACGAGCACGCGTGCTTCTCGAGCTCCGACGTCAGCCGACTACCTCGACGAACCTCGTTGCTCGTTCCGCCGCTGCCACGACACTCTCGCGATGACCCCTATCCCCCGCGAGCGCTGCTACTGCTGCTGTAGCCGCGCAATTGTCGGAAGGCACAAAAAAAAAAAATTGCAGATGTACCTCAGAAAACTTTCATCTATTGTTGTCGCGTAGGTGACCCTACGTCGCATATCGCGTTTTGCCTTCGGAGCTCACAGTTTGCCAATGCATGTGTTTGCATATCCTGGGAGTTGACAGTAAGTAGTGAATCTGATGTTGCCGCAAGTAGCGTGACTTTCATTGACTGACGGATGGTATTCTATTCTGGAGAGGGAAGCCTTTCGCAGTGTCGAGTCCACTGGTGACGGGAGAAGGCTGTAATTGGATACTGTTTTTGCGTTGTGCCCGAGTCATACTGTCCCAATAGTGCACGCCGTTCGTAGCTTTCGCGTTTTACACGCAGAGCTTATATTTGACAGTGCATGAGTTCTTGTCCTGGGAATTCACAGAAGTGGGACTAATTGATACTTTTTCATACACGTGGCAAAACGGCAACTACCTAGACTATGATTTCTACAGATGATGCGTACGAACGCATTGGGAATTTCATTCCCACTCAGAGGTAGTGGTGTTTCGCGTATATGCTCTGGGAGAAGGGTTTGGCATGGACAGTCTAGGTAGTTCGAGTATTGGTTGGTGGGGGACATGCTTTCATTCCTGCACGGTAGTATTGACCACAATATTCCGAATCCTACATAAAAATACCTCAGGCAGGAACCGCAGGAGGGGGTCCAGCCCCCCCCTCCTCTCTGACCCCGGTTGGGTCGTCTAGCTAGTAGAAGTGGAGGGTAGGGGCCAGAGGGGCAGACGACAGAGTCCAATGATGGGAGAAAAAAAAAAAACTCAAGCAGGAACCGCAGGAGGGGGTCCAGCCCCCCCCTACTGTGTGACCCCGGTTGGGTCGTCTCGCTGGTAGAAATGGAGGATAGGGGCCAGAGGGGCAGACGACAGAGTCCAATGATGGAAGAGAAAAAAATAATATATATATACGATATGTAGATGTGTAGTCCCATTATCCATTTAGGGCCGTTTTAAACACTCCAAACTTTCGTTCCAAAAACTCCAAACTTTTGTTACAAAAGTTTGGAAGCAAAAAGAATCATTTTAAACGCTGTGACTTGCTGTGATGATGTGGAGTTGCTCCAAAATGAAAGAGCCGCGCGTGACACGTGCAGCAACACGCAAGCGATATACCACACACAGCCCACATATCGACACCATGGACAACAGCGTGGAGACCACGACAACCGTGCGTGGTCGTCACACCAAAGTCCCGGCGAACCAGCACAACCGGTCTCTCGGGGCTGCTGTCGGCGGTGGTGGCGTGTTGTCCAGCACCCCCAACCCTCTGCCTGGCTTCAAGGGGACCGCTCGTTCGAACACGGGAGGCGCTTCAAACCGCAACAAGAGCTACAACAAGTGGTCGGCTTACCTGCTCAGGGAAGCCTGCGCACTGCGGAGGCTCAGCGGCTACTCGAGGTCAAAAGACACAGACAAGATTGCAGCTGGGTTGACGCAGCTCGACATCGTCATGAGCAGGAGCAGTCCGTATCTCGCTGACTTGGAGGACAAGGCAACAGGTGAAGACCCAATGATCACCAGACAATGCTCGTGGTAGTGTTGCCACGAGCCTGTTCTTTCAAGGCTTGCATGGGACCTGGGTAGCTCCGTCGAAATGTGTTGCTTTTCCTACGTTCGTGATTTTGCGGTGTTGCCTTTGGGAGAAAAAGCGTGCTGTGTTTCGACAGCGGGGAGCAACCGCACAACAGATTTATTTTGGACGATACCATCCCAGCAGTTTCTCTTTCTTCGTGGCGTGAGAGAGAAAAAGAGAGGAGGCGATGCCTTGTGGCTCCGATCCAGGCACGGCATGTGTCGTACCAATTCCTAGGAGTCGCAAGCAGTCGAGGAAGTGAGTTACAGTAGATGCTCTGCGAACAAGCAGTCCTGACACGGAAGCGCAGTGTCCAACCCTACCGTAAGTGTCAAATGCTGCAAAAGCAAGGAAGCCCTGGCCAGCCAGGTTTTCGGCGAGCTTGTGCCGAGGTATGCATAGGGGTGTGTAATGTATGAAAAACCTCCGACACGGCCCTGCCCATCCCCCGCTCGTTGGCGCTGATGGTATTGTCAGGTGGAACGCCACGATCGAAGCCGCCAGAATCTAGCGCGGAGGCGCAACGAGTTCCTCAAAACCTCATCACAGCGGTACGCGCTGCAATCTGGAGTGGGCTCAGCCCCGAGCCGAACAAGATGTACGACTGTGATGGCAAGTCGTACGCGGTCGCCACCATCATGGCGGCGATCAAGGAGGACGATCGCGCCGATGGGCGGGGCGAGGGCATCGGACAGCGGAGGAAGAGCAAGCACTGCGTCCCTCGCTTTTGTGAACTTCTGATGCATCCGCAGTTCAGGGAGAGGTTTGGCGCCAGTAGGTTGCAGCTGAGCAAGAAGGAGCTGGACGCCAAGCAGAAGGGGACGACCCGGGACATCCATCTCGAGATTTGGGAGGCGTTCAAGGACGAAAAGTTCAACGTGAGGTGCTTTCTCAATTTTTTTTGCATGTTCCAGTTTGATCTAGGTGTAGTGGTGGTGGTATCCTCCGTTGTGGCCTGCACGAGGCGGTACATTTTTGTGATTGGCACCTGCATGCACGCCGCATACCACTTGCGGTCCCGAGGGCAAACCTTCGGTGTTTCTTTGCTGAGCACATTTTGGCGAACCAAGGCAAAGATAGAGGATCAAAACGCAAGCGCCCCCCCCTTTGCCTGTATTTGTGCCAACAACGTAACATTGCAGGTGCCCAGTTCCTTCGCGGACGACAGCAACATCTTTGGCGCCGGCATCAACCCCAACGTCGTACACCAGCCGGACATCAGCTTCCAGAAGTTCGCGACCGTGAGGGCCGACCTCTTCAAGGACCACGGCGAAATGTACTCCAACTTCAAGAAATCTGGCAGCAACGGAGATATGTTTTCCTTCTGCAAGGGTGAGTTTAATACTCCGGCCCGACCATGTTGTTTCTGTTGTGCAGTGACAAAACGAGCCTTGTGTATGTTTGAGGGTAGACGAGGTGCACGGGGTATTTAGTGTTTGAATGCTCGCGAGCGCGTGCGTGTGTGGTGCTTGTGTTTGGCCTCTCCATCCTGGCGCTTGCTCCCCATCGTGTTGCGTCGAAAAGCATGTAGGTTTGTGCATCCATGGGCCCAGAACTAACCTTAGACGGTAGTCAACGCCAAACAACGCAAAGTTCCTCTTNGCTCCCCATCGTGTTGCGTCGACAAGCATGTAGGTTTGTGCATCCGTGGGCCCAGAACTAACCTTAGACGGCAGTCAACGCCAAACAACGCAAAGTTCCTCTTGACGTTTGTGATCGAATGCTGACAAATCTCGGCTTGCGCTTGATCATCTACTTCGCCCCCCCGCCCTCCCCCCCCACATCCAATCCCGACCCCTCCCCGAAAAAGCAGAAAGCTTAGACACATACTACTTCGGGCTGACGGCCGAGAAGTGCCCTGACATCCTGGCCGTGTGCGACCAGATGCTCCCCGACGGCACCGCGAGGGAGAGTACGGGGGTGGAGACCGCGGGAGACGGACACAGTGGTGCCCAGGGCGCTTCGGCGGATGCTAGTAAGCGGAAGGTCACGAAAGTGTAATCCAGGGAGAGAAACGTGGGCGTCAGTGGCCACCAGAAGAAACCGAAGAAGCAGGACGCGCAGATCGAGAACACGGCGAAGGTCGCTATGTCCGCGGTGAATGGGGAGCTCGGCCTTGACGCCCTGTTCGGAACGTCGTCCGCACCCACGTACGCCGACGCCCCGACATCCTTCTACGACACGAAGGAGGGGTTAGAGAACAAGACGGCCAAACTCGAATATATCGCCAAGCTCCGCAAAGAACTCCAGGAAATCAAGGAGGACATCAGGAAGGAGAAGGAGCTGGGTTCGGACGCTGACGAAGAAGACCTACAGCTCTTGCGGGACCGGGCGACGACCGTGAGGGCCCAAATCAAAAAAGAAACGGCGGCAGCTAGTGAGGATGGCTAGGTAGCCGGCACGTGGGTGCGTGGGGCGCGGGCGGTTAGCACTTATCTGTTGTGGACGGCGCCGGCTGTGCTGGTGTCTTCTTAATACTTTTTAACATCCTCCTATATCACGTGTGACGAATACTATGTTTGGTGGGGTCTTTGGCTGCATCTTGACTTAGAGATGCATGTTGGCGTAGCCTTTTCTTTTTTTCTAGTTGACACGTAATATTCGCTCGGATGGGCCACAACAACACGTAAGTTAGGGATGGAGACGTTTGGCGGCAGGGCAGGGTAGATGCGAATCGAAGTGGTGGTTTTTTGTGGTGGTGGCGTACAAGATTAAAGAGATGCAACTGGTCCGTCCGTTGCAGACCCTTATTTTCCGTAAGCGTAATTTCCCGGCAGCACAACAATGTGTATGCCGTTTGTTTCCCGCGCGGCACTTCACCACCTCACCCTTTACGCCATTCTGGCATAAGCGAGAGAGTATTAATTGGTAATGTCGTAGTGTGGCTGCATCGTTCCTTGTGTTGTTGTGCCTTCGTTGCTTTCTTCGGCAGCGCCCACAAGGCACGGCAAGGAGATGTAATGTTGTGTTGCGACAAGGCACGTTGTTTTTTTTCCGTCGTGCATGGTTGGGCCGGCGATTTTTCGGCGGCGGCTTGCTGCCATGCCCTATGCCTNGTCGTGCATGGTTGGTCCGGCGATTTTTCGGCGGAGGCTTGCTGCCATGTCCTATGCCTACCAATGTGGGGATGCAGGTTATTTTGTGCGTTGCATCACCGCGGAGGTGGAGTGTCGCCGCGTTAGTCTTGTTGTTTGTAGCGCCGTTGTGGGGCTGTTTGTACGTCTTGTTGTGTGGTTGCGTTTTTGTTCTTGGCAGCACCCAGAACAAGGCAGGGAGATGTGACCATTTATACAGACGTCTCGTCGGGCGGGGCGAATGAATCCCGTTTTTTTTTTCTTTCACTGTCTTGGCTCGGTGTTTTTTTCTGCTTTCACCGTCCATATCCATCGTCTGCATGGTTGATCCGACGTGGGGATACAATCAAAATGTCAATGCGGTCCACACGAAATTAAAGAGCACCGCTCAAAAGATCTCAAACCAACGGCATGGTATTTCTCCCTGCGCGGTCGGTACTTGCACATGTCTGATAACCACGCTGGCCGCTACGCGCTCAAAGACCGAAGAGTATTCTAAGGGTGCTTTGGCCCCGGATCGCTAACGGGCGACAAATCAGCCCCTTCATTGCTTGGGGGTGACACTTTTTACCGACAACAGGAGATCCCGCGCGCAGCAACGAACGAAAAAAAATTCGCCGAGAGAAAGGGACCGCTCATTCTCCAAACACTACTGCGAATTGTAGCTCACGTCTCGCATTCATCGGAGGGACTTTTGTCGCAAAAATAAAATGGGAAGCCAAAAGAGTAAAGGGCACACACTTACACACATGCACACACGACAAGACACGTACGCCCCTAAGCCCCTTCCTGTCAAGGGCAGGCCAATATATCACGGTACCCCCCGCGTCTCCACAACGAATCCCGAGTACCCGACCACCTCACCCCAGCCCTATCTGGCCACCCGCCAAACCTTCATGTGTTCCTCGACCCTTTTTCTCCCTCCCCGAATATGCCCTACTTTCAAGCACCGTAGTCCAGAGCGGGTTCAACCCGCACAGAGCCCCTTCCGCCTGTCAGCCCTCGATGACTACAGTGCCTCGTTGCGCTGCAGGTTGTATAGAGGGCGGTATTGTCGCCTGTTGTCCAGTAGCATCCTCAGCGCCAGGCGGGTGGGGACGTCTCCCGACCTCGTCGGCTTCGGCACCCCCGTGTCGGTTGTTTGAAAGTCTTCCGGCAGCGTGTCGTTTTCCGTCAGATGGGGACGGTCGCGCCCGGTCTCCGTGTCTTCCTCTGACATGTGGACCGGCTTCACTTGCTCGTCGCGGAGGTAGTTGTGCAGACGAAAGAGGGCCGTGATGAGGGCGCTGCGGCCTGCGAACTGAACCCGCAACGGCCTCCACAAAATCCCCCACTGCCCCACGAGGATGCCGTAAGCTTGCTCGATCTTCACTCGCAGTTGGCTCAGGTGGAAGTTGAACGAGTCTTCGTCTCGTGGCAGCAACTTCCCCGGGTACGGCGTGAGGAGATGATCGCTGAGAGGGTACGCCGCGTCGCCTAGCACGTAGTACCCAGGCGGTAGGCGCGCCACCGAGTCTGACAGCGAAGAACGATTCCATGCTGTCCAGTCATTCGTCGCACCGGCCGAAATGGCCGACATGCTGCAGAAGCGGTAGTTGGCGTCACAGGTCGCCTGGATGTTCAACCCGTACCCACTCTTGTTCCCGGAAAAGTAGGAGAGCACGTTCGGGGTATCCACCGGAGACGGGGCGATGGTCTTGACGAACAGGCCATCTCCAGCAGCAACACAACCGGAGAATACGCCGCCGGTGCTCTTGGCCTGCAAGGGAGGGATGAGTGTTCCGGAAAAAGAGAGTCGGCAAGAGGCGACAAGAGAGCCGGCGGCGGTGGGAGGTGGGGCGCGGGCCATCAGCGATCGTTTTGAAGAGATTCGGACCACGGCTTGGACAGACATGCAGGCGAATGGGCTCTTCGGTCGTTCCACTCATCGGTAAAAACGTGTACCCATGCAAAAAGTGCACCCATGCAAAAAAAAAAAGACTTGTCTGCACGGGCGGGGTGTTCGAGAACGAAATGGATCTGAGATCGCTGCGGTGGTTGCATGTGGTTCGCAGACCGGTAGAAGATATTCATGGGACCAGGTTGCTTAGTTTCTCGAGGCCTCGCTTCTCCCTCCTTCTGTATCCTCTAAGTTTTCTACTACACGAGATGAGCCACAACTCAATCCGGGGAACTCAACTCGTTGCCTCTCGCTGTACTATGTCGCAGTCGGAAACAAGGCCGGGGGCGACAGCGCAACCGGGTGGGTGACACGAGATGGAACCCACGTGCTTCGGGTTTCGATTGAAGAAGGAGTATGGCCGAATGCTGTTGCTGAAGGAAGAGTACAAAACAAAACACGACACTATATGAAGTTAACGCTTGTCTTCGCGATGACAGGAAAGATACCCGCCTTACCGAAAAAAAACGAGGGCGCGGGACAAGTAGTCGGTAGGCGGTGAAGTCATCCATGATGAGGACACAAACGGATAAACACGAAAAAAATACCACACACACGTTTTACCCACCTCCCACTCCTTCGCTTGCCGGGCGCAATCATCCCTTGTCTGAGGGAAAAAGAACGCCCCGACCTCCGGCGTGTTGTTGATCGCGTCCACCACTTCCCACAAGACGTGGAATACAGTCTCCTTTGCAATGCCGAACAGCACCGCGACATCTAGGTATGATGCTCCTGCCAGCATGCGCAACGCCACCGCCAAACGAATTTTTACCGGCACAGCTCCGCTGCGCGTGCGCTTCCCTGCATCCCATAAAACAAAACAATGGCAGCATGACACCATGTGTAAGCTACATACGTGGAGGCGCAACCAAGCACGTTGTAGACTATCCGTCTCATTCAACGTGCCCACGTTCCTAACCCTCTGGGGGGCGTTGCATGATAGCGTATGTCGGAGGTCGTTCGTGGTGCCGGAAAAAAAAAAGTTCGGCCGGAATTGGTAGCTAGAAATTGGACACAGACATGCCCAGCATCGAGACAGGCTTCAACACCGCACAACACGCATACCCGAGAAAAAGCAATTCCGCCCCCGCCACCTACAAGGTCTCTCTCGCTCTATTCCTAGCCCTCCTTCTGTCCCTCTCTCTGTCTTTCCTCTCGCTCACTTGCATAGAAGTCGTTGCTCTCCAGGATTGGTCGCAGCAGCTCCGCAAGTTTGTAAGCTGTGCTCCTCCATCCGGTACATGCGCCTGAACACCCCCCTGCGCTTGATGTCTCTCACATGCTCTTCCAAGTTCAAGCGCCGCGGCTCATGGACAGGTAGCCGTGCCTTGGGGGCAAAGCTCTGAACGACCGTCGTTGTAACTACAGTCAGCACCAGCACTATTGCCGCCACAGCCTTCATTTTCTCAGCACATCGGCATTGTTTGTGTGCCTTGCTCGTGCCGGCGGGCGAGGACAGCCCGCCGAATCTGCAGCCACGCCCCGCTTTCTACGGTCAGCCATCACCCAAGAACAACCCTAGCTTAGCTGGCGTTCTGTTGCGAGGGGAACTCGTGGTTCAACACTTTGAAGCCCTCACGTGCTCTGCACTATAGTTTGGAAAAGTGTCCAAAAAGAGTTCCAAACTTTGGAACGAACTGGCGCCAAACTTTCTGGCCCGACTTCGTTCCAAACTATTTTGAAAAGTTTGGACAAACGCCTACACACAAGTGCCAAATATTTCGGAACTTTGGAAGTTTGGAAAATTATTTGGCGTGTTGGAAACGGCCCTTAGACTACATGAGGATACAATTTTGATATTTCATGGATACAGCAGTACATGGCAAAGACTTTCCGAGATTCAATGGGTTCCGGCCGATGGCTTTCTGCTGGGAGATCGACGATTTCGGAGGACAATGTCATTTTGGTCGGGTGGATTAGTTTGATTTGGATACAACATGGTTTGTAAAAGGGTGACCCCCCTCTGCCGTACGTGGGCCAGCGTCCTCCCTTCACCATAACAATTGATTCCTGTGTCAAACCTCCTACTTGCCCCATATCCCCGCCAGGTCGCACTCGGCACCCAACGCTTTAACACTTGACATACATCGGCTAGCCACTACTTCAATCACCCAGAATAAATGGGCCACCAACGTGAGCCTACAGTTGGCGGCAACTTTCGCCCTAGATGGGCCGCCAGCAGCCATACCCATGGGAACATTTCCCTAAACGCTCACCGTGTGGGCTCCCAGGGTTGGGCCGCCGACATTTCACAGCAATTGCCGTCTTCAACATGCTCACCACAGGTTGGCTCTTGGTGGTCTGCATGTGGTGGGCTGCCCGTGGGCAACCGTCTATGTGGGTAGCCCACGATAGATGCGCTGTGACCATCGGCTACCCACCATGGGCTGCCCACAACAAAGGCTGCCCAACAAAGGCTGCCCATGCGCACCCCACTCTTTGCTGGCTTGCCCATGACCTGCCATCGATGCGCCGCCCATTGAGGGCTGCCCATGGTCTGCCCAGGACATACTGGCCGCAAACCGCCCATGATGGGCTGCTCGTGACCTGCCCACGATTGGCTGCCCATGGTACGCTGCCCATGAGCTGCCCACGATCGGCTGGCATCATCCGCTCGTGACCTGCCCACCATGGGCTGCCCATGGTAAGCTACCCATGAGCTGCCCACGATCGGCTGGCATCATCCGCCCATGTTGGGCTGCCCGTGAGCTGCCCATGATGGGCTGGGCACGGTGGGCTGCCCATGGTGGGCTGCCGATGAGCTGCCCACGGTGGGTTGGTTGCCCATGGTGGGGCCCACCATGGGCAACCCACCATGCCCGTGGGCCGCCCGTCATGGGCATGTTGGGCATGCCCGTGGGAATGCCCATGGGTCACCCGTGGGCTTGCTCATGGGCATGCCAATGGGGTGCTCATGGGGCACCCATGGGCCGCTTGGGAAAACTGTAGAAGGTCCATACGACACCGCCGACGTGGTTCTGAGGTCACGTTCTTGGGGGGACACCTGTAGCCATTCGGCTACCCCTGTGTGAACCCTGCGGGCAAATAGACCCTGTACGGACGCTGTGACCACCTGTCTAGGTAATCGGTCCCCACAGGGTCCACGGGCAGGAACCCTCTGCCAGGGTGTCAACACAACCAGGGTTGTACCAGTCATTTCTACGATACATTTAGTCTTGTAAGGTGTTATTAGCCTCTAGGGTACAACCCCAGCATTATTACTGTACCGATGGTCCAGCAATCTACTGCTTGCTGTAACCGCACACGGCCGTATTTTTTTTCTTGGAATATGCACGCGATAAATGGTGCTCGCTCCTGAAAGTGACAGTCCCGTTCACAACTTGCACAGCATAACAGGGTTCGGCCGTGCTGCTATAGGGCATGGGACGTCTACAAATACCTGAACATGACTAAATGGCATATATCTTTCGGGCGGTCGACAACGCGGTAATAAAAAGTGCAAGCGTCGCTGGGGACAAATATTTCTCCCTCTGCAGGACCGAAATATATTTAAGTACAAGTATGTATGTATGTATTCAGATGGCGACGACGAAATTAAAGAGAGATAAATACACGCACAGGGAGCCGACCCATTTGCATTCGAGATACACCCACAGCAGTAACCGAGCGACACTTCTCGCGATGACAATGTTTCGCGGAAGTCCCGAGTTCGATCCCCGCTCAAAACCCTTTTTTTTGCCTGAAAAAAAAACGNGAGCGACACTTCTCGCGATGACAATGTTTCGCGGAAGTCCCGAGTTCGATCCCCGCTCAAAACCCTTTTTTTTGCCTGAAAAAAAAACGAAAACAACTTGAAATTGCGATCTGCAGGTAGCTCAAGTAGCGAGAATTACAACCACGAAAAAGTCGAGGAAAAATTTTTGTTGGGGTCGTATATCTACGACAACGAAAACGACGCACTTGAGTTCTGACGATTTTCGCTTGAGATCACTGCCGGCGGAGGTAATATATTCTCAAGGGGAGGGGTTGAAACTTCATCATTCCCGTTTCTTTTGTTTTCCCTGAAGCACCGCCTATCCTATACCCGAGCATCATGGTCAAAGAAAGTCCAAGAAAAGGACAACCAACCACCTAAACTATAAATCGAGCATAGTTTCCTCTTGTTCGGCATCATTGCGTCCTTTCGTCGCGCGACCTTAATCAAGGCCCAAGCCAACAACGCGTGTTCAGTGGCTACCCGGCTGTCTAGGCAACCGGGGCTGTCTGTGTGTACGATATATAACATGAGCCTCCCGCCGCGCAGATTTTATTCTTATGCCGTACAACGGTACGCGTACTTCGGGTGTATTGTGTCTAAATGCACCCATTTCATGACTCGAGCCTTTTTCGTGGTTGACGAGTGTGTCGGCCAACGTGGGGGGAAAAGTTTAATCGAAAATTACCGATTTACAACATGATCGAAGGCGGGAACAGCAAACAAAATAAAAAATTAAGGAACAGATGGAAAAAAAAGACGGCGCTGCCCGGACTCGAACCCGCGTCTACAAACTCCACGAGGCACCCAAGCCCCACCATCCGTAGCCGCCCCCCTCTTCTTGACCCCGCTAACCCTCAACACAAGTGCGGTCTGAAGGTTGCGTCGTTAGCCTCTCTCCATTGCCATCCCCATCTCCGCCCTCTCTCGTAGCTGGCGAACACCGGCGTACAGACACACACGCAGTGGCGTAGACAAATCTCCACGAAACTGTTGTCCATGGCGCGCTCTCTATCTCTTAGATTATCCCTGGCGTCACAAAATTGAAGGACGCACGAGAAGGGACGCGTTCAGGGTGGCCGACTAAATTGTCGTTAACAAGTACGAGCTTGCAAGAAGGGCGTGCGTGAATACCATTGCATAAACCGAATCCGACGACTTGCAGTCGGGCGCGCCTGCCACCACTGGTTCATTGGCGAAGTCGTCGTGCAATGGAGGTCCCACGACCTCTATTCCTACTGGCATGCACCGCTATTTAACCACACTATGTAACATGCACATGCGACTACTTATTTTCTAGGGTTAGCTGACGCGTTCCATATATGAAAGCCTCACATTCCTCCGAGAAACCAGCCTTCGCGCGTTCAGACAAACGTGTCTTGGTTGGTGCTGTGGTGCACTTCGTTCAGGAGGTACCTGTCGTAGCCGTTTCGTGATCCCGGCAATGCTAGCCGAAACCTGTGGTGCCAGACACGGTCCCTGCCACCACTGTACGGCCCCTGGGATTCTCCGCAAATTTGCGACGTACTCGATCCAACATCGCTGTGCTGAGGGCATTGGTGATACATGTGCACCTGCCGCCTGATGGCTTGCACCGGGTAAACCTTAGGACGGCCCCGCCCTTGCAGTGACAACGTCGGGTGTCGGGTGACAGAATCGGGCACCCGCTCGTTCCCATTGCCGATCCCGACATAGTCGTACGCGAGCACCCACCACGTGGACGGCCGTGGCTCGCCGCTGAAGGAGTTCTTGTTTCCTTTATGGTCGAAGAAGTAGATGATCTTGCTCATTGTCAAGTCATCTACGGATGGCGAAACGTCGTCACCGGTCGGAGGTGGTTTGTTGAATATTTCAACATCGTTTCCCTGCCCCTGTCCTAGTGCCCAGTCGTCACGCGGCCCAACTCGCGCGGCAGCCTTGGCGTCGCCACCCCTCAAACGTCCCACGCCACAGCTAGCTACCTGCGGCACGCGCATGTATCTCGAGCACTCTATCAGGGTAGATTCTAGGGAAGTAGACTCATCCCAGCAGTAGGGGCACCGAACATTGCCGCACCCCCCATCACCCCCCCCGCATCCGAAGTACCGTTGGTAACCGCGGATCAATGCTGCCTCGTCTGGGCGGAAGTTTCCCGAAGAAATGCGAGCACTCCATGAACCGTTGACGTTCGGCACGCCGTCTTCCTTGAACAGGTGTGCCGACCAGACCGCCGAACCCGGAAATTGTCCTTTCAACTGCGCTGGTGTTTGGATGGCGGACGCGTGAGCGTCTGTGGGTACGCGATCGTGACCGAGCGTAGGGGCAAGGTAGTTCATCAGCCGGATGCATCCGGCTCCCGGTGACACCGAAATAACCTCATGTTCCTTGGTCCTGCGGTTGAACGTCGTCACTGAGTACTCCAGGCCGTTGGCGAGCGCAAGCAGTGCGGCGTTGACGTTGGCGCGCTTAACGTAGTGTTTGGGTGGGTTCCTGCCGCAGTCGGACTTGTTGCCGGACTTGTTTTGCTGGTGGGCGAATTCCCCTGGACTTGCGTCGGGAACAATACCTGTAGTCGGGTGGAGGAGTTGCTCGATCTTCATTCCGCAACAATATGCTATTCACATGAAATATTCCGAAGTTGAACGTAAATAAGCGAAGTCTCGGAGAGGATTGGGAGGAAACATAGGGCACATACAGCACGACAGGATTTTTCAATTGCCAACTGTCTAAATGTAAAACAATGGTTATTAAATAGAGAGGAAAGCACTTGCGACAGCAGTTGGTGGCTGTAGGTCGAGCAGTGGCCCTTCCAAATATGATGGGTTAGGGTTAGCTTATACCAACCGTCCTCTTGCTGTAACTCCATCAATTTCATTGGCACCGACAGTCGGACATTGGATTTAATCGCGTCCCACTGGCTTGGATATCACCACCCGCGTCGACACGGTCTTCAAGACACAGCGAGCAATAATATGTATCACCACAGGGAGGATTGCTCCAAACGCTGTTAGCATGGAAGTTGTAACGCGTTACTCGGGACGAAGCCCCACATCCTCAGGTCATGTAAAGTAGGCTACAGGACAATTTTGGCACCATCCTCACCGTGTGCTCGGATGGCCTCTGTCGTATGCAGGATGGAATGGATGGTAGGCCTTGAACCTGTCCTTCCCATCACGTTGGAATAGAAACCGACCTGGCCAAAGCGGGTAAGTAATATTGTTTATATCCTGTTGCTACTCAATTGCCGCAAACGGCGAGGCGGCTTTCTTGTCTCGCGTGTAGCAAATTCTGTTGAAACGCCCCAAACGAAATCTCGCTAGAAGGCGTACACTCCCAATAAATGTAACCCGCTGCAGCAGGGGGGTGACACGTTTGGGTGATGGAGACACGTGGAACGCCCAAACCGTATCGACAGTCACGTTGGCCGTGACGCACTGCGTATAAGCTGTTACTGATACAACTGCCTATTACCCAAAAGCATACTAGCCGGGGAGATACGACGCTGCCGACACATACTTACCGACAATGACCAAGCCCCCGAACGGCACACGCCTTTCCACAATCGACAACGTTTTCTGCGGTTTCTCCTCAAACGCGTTAGCACTTGCTACAGCTAATGTGTCCTCCCGCACGGACACGGAGGGTTTCGAACCTGCTCCGGTGACCCCCGGTTCCCAATAACAGGCGCACGATTTTTGCTGCCCACGGCAAAATACTTCACAATGAAACATGTGCTGTTCTGGTGTGGAGAGCAAGGTGACACAACGCGTGACAGGAAGAGGTCTGACGAACTTACCACGTCACGCGCGAGAAGGTCGAGCTGGGATAGCTCGCGGTCGTTGTGAGAAGGCGCACGCACGGCGTACGACAGGTGGGACGCCACTTGTACGAGTTGCTGTAGCACCTCCAGAACCTTCCCGTCAGTCCCCCAGATCTCTCGCAAGTCGTTAATGTCCTGCCTCTTCATGTTTTTCTTCTGCGATGTTGCGATAACCAACAACAGGAACACGGAGTAAATTCATCGGTGGGTGGAGCTTCGGGAAAGAGTTTTTTTTGTCGAGTTTGATTCCTACGATGGGTCCGACACCCAGGCGGTGAGCTCCGTGAAACAATCCAGGAAAACAATCGCTGGGGGCGTCACGTCGATCTTGGTGTGGGAGCTGCGGGGCGGTGTGTGTTGGCCTACGCTGAGGCGCGCACCTAGGCGGCAAGAGCGGCACGCCTTAGGGTCAATGCGCAGCCTGTGTGTCGTGCTACACACAGGCGTACCTGTAGTTCCACGTGTCCCAGTAGGGGTACTCCTTATCACGAACATAGCCAATGATATGTACTATTGGGACTGCTACGTTGAGTCTCATACGCCCCCCCCCCCCCCCCCCCCCCCCCCACCCCCCCCTCCACGCGCGCCGCACTGCGTACATGTAAACCTCACCATGGCGCGGACGTCTTGAAGAACCGGTCGGAACACGAGCAGCATGATGGACTGAAGCGTCCACTTGTCGCTCCCGGTGAGGGAAGAGTAGTTGGACACGATGTCCTTGAGGCGCTCCGTCCCAGCTGGATACAGAAGAGAAGGAGTCTGGGACATGACGGCGGAGACCAGACGCCGTCCTCGTGTCGACAACATTTCCAGTAGGAACACCTGGCAGAGCTGACAGGACCCCTGCAACAGTCATACGAACATGTTGCATAGTTGGGGTTGGGATACAAAATTGCAACGCACCGAAAGAGGGAATGGGTCCATTGCTGTACCACCATTCGGTACTCGAACACGGGAAACATATCAAAGAGCAACGCTAGATTCAAGACCGCTCGCCGACGGTGATGTGGACGTCGAATACTTAACGCTTTTATAAGAAATGCAGGATTACGTCCGTAACATACATATTTCATACACCGACCGCACTACAGTTATCGTAGACGAAGCTGAATTCCGAAAAATCACCAGAGCATCGAAGTGAAGTCGTTCCACCGGAACAGCCTCAGTCGGTACGATGAGCATGGCGTCGTAGAGAGGTAGGGGGAGGCCGGTAGCATCCGGTGCAACCAGACCCAGTTCCATCGAGCGCCGAGACTATTCGCTGGGGTCATCCGAGAGGGACTGCAGCGTAGCAAAACCCTCCGTGATCCCCCCCCAGGTACGTCGATTGGCATCGAGATCATACTGGGCATCCCCCAGATCTCCCCCGAAGGCGTCGTCGCGTTGCTCAACCATGCAGTAGGGACACGGGAACCTCGAGAAGTGGTTGCATGCCTTGGAACCGAGGTTCTTAGCCCGCCCCGGCCCGTCCCCACACCACATGAGCAATCCGCCCCGAACAAACACCTGCTAGGTTCGAGATATTGTGGCACGCATGATGCTGGAGTACCTGAGAAGCATGAGCAACTGACTGCATACATGCACACGTGTTTTGGAGGCTGCCAAGCTGCTCGGGTATACACCCCGCACTTCACGTGCGTCACACGGAAATCGCTTAAACGTTCGCTTTGACGCAGCAGCCCTCGTAAACTACCAGCCATTAAGTCGCGCCATGACCCTCCCGTAAAACTTAAGTTGAACGCTATCATCTGGGGCGCATACAACATTGTTGCAGAAGCCAGTCTCCGGAACGTCCGCTCATTTAGTCGCCCCGGGGGGCTCAGTGCCAATGCCGCCTTGTAGTTCTTTTTAGAAAACGTCCACTGCGGCCAAAAGCTTCGCCGCGTTTATATATTTCCACTGGCAATTGATCGATAACGACGTTACCGCGCTATTCAATGTTCGAGTCATCTAATCAAAATTTCGAGACGACGGAGAGGGCTGCTCGTGGAGGACGTATTACGAACATTAGTCTAGGTGACTTCGTCGCTTTCGGAGAATAATGTGGTGGATGCCACAATAAAAATCAAACCGCATGATGTAGGGTGTATGGCGCTTAGAACCGTCGTCCCTCCGCAACCCCTGCGGCATACATGTAACGTCGGAAGGGCAAGAGCATTTACATATATTGAGCTACTCCCTTCTGTCACTACCAAGACTTTGGCAAGACATACCTCTTGCAAATAGGTTGTCCCATCATCCTCTGTGAGCATGCATTCGCCCAAACACCCCCGCTGTAGCAATCCAAGGATTTCACACTGCAATCCGATCTCTCCTTGGCAACAAGCTCCGGTGCTCGCAAGGGTGCCGACGTGTGTCTGTCGCTTCAGTCGCTGCACAGCTTGGGTTCTCCACGGCCACCCAAAGTACCCGCCACCCACGGAATGCTGCCCAAACGGTAATTACAAAGGAGATACAAGAAAGGGTGCGATGAGTCCGTGATTGTACGTGGTAGAACAACATACGTGGTGGGTGAAAGAGTGCTCGAACGTTAGGGCGAGACGGCCACACTACAAATCAGATTCTAAACGGGCGAGTGCACGTGTCGCCCGGGTGCTTCCTGTAGACTACTAGCTGCTGATGGGCACAGGGAGGAGACCGAACAGGAGGCGTCAGCCATAACGCCACGAACGTGGGTGGCGGGGACAGGATAAAAAAGAACAAGAGACAGATAACAGAAAAACAGACACACTAGCACAGAGGGCGTTGCTTTCGCCCCACGTGTAGTAACTCAGTCCCAAAATAACTATCTGACATTCTAACCTTGTTTCCCATTCCAAAGCAGTTGAAGGCGTCGTTGTAAAAGGTGACGGGCGCTGAAAAAAACGCGAGGTTCTCGTTGTTGAGGTGGAAGCCTTCTCTCCTCAACACGAACAGTGGGTTATCCGGGGTTCCTTCCTTGCACCACGGCGCATGGGTCACCTCGAACTGCTGTACCGGGTCATCTCCGGCGCGTTGTCGCTTTTTCCCGGCCTGCACCACAAACCCTTCCCCCAGAAAGCGACCCCACATATCGCACCTCGCGCCTTGATCCCATTCCCCGTCGTGCTTGTCGGCGTCCATCTCGTCCTCCGTATAAATCTCCGCCAGGCCGAGCACGTCGGCAACCTCCAACAGCAGTTCGCCTCCGACAGTACAGTCTTCCCAGGTTCTCTGCAGACCTCCTCGCGTTTCCGTTTCTCCCACATGTCTGACCTCCGCAGCTGACCGAAACGTTCGCACGGTAGCAACAACTTGACGGCTTTCAACATCCCAGAAAAGCTCGAGTAGACGACACACTGTCGGGGTGCCCCCGACTGCGCAGATGCAGACATCGTGAATGAAAACCTTTCTCCCACAGACGCTGCCCTTGATTCCATCGATTCCCATGAAGGGAGACGTCCTCGATAGCGTGCCGTTCATGTTTGTCTCCCTGACGTTGCCGACCTGCTTGGTCGGTACACAGTTCACATGATCGCTGGTTAACGAGTTCACGGCGGCCTCCTCTTCGCGCAAAAGCTTTCCAGCAGGGTATGCTTCGGAGAGTGCCGTTTCGGAGGCTAGCTTCATGTCGCGATCTAGTAGCAGGTTGACAGGTACGTCATACACCACCGCTGACGTTTTGCCTTGCTGTGTTGACGGGACATCTCGCTCCAGAACCTGCAGTAGAGGAAGGTATTGCCGCATGCGGTTGCTAAAGTGCGCGGCGTCCACACCTTTCAACCCTCCTACGTCGAAACCGCACCCCTCGTCCTCCATCAGCAGTATGTCGAGCAGCCCTCCCAATGCCTTTTGCGAAATTTGGTGTGTATACTGCGAAACATAAATAAGCTGTTGTTCTTTCGTACTGAATGGGTAGAATGAAGATCCGGTCGCCTTCGTGTTGAATCTCAGGTTTTCTGGACCGCCCTCCAACGTCGAGCTCGTGGCATAAGAAGGCGCAAGGGTGTGAAGCTCGGCCAGGGAGGGGGTGCCTCCGCCTCCGCCACCACGTGTGTCAGGTGCAGGGTTGACGTGCTGTGGGTGCTGGTCGTCAACGGTCGGATATATGTCTATTCCGCCGCATTGATCTCCCTCTCCTCCATATTCGCCGTCGTCACCAGCACCACCCGACACAGCCCCCCCATCACACTCGGCGTGGTCACCGCTATTGAGGCTCGGTTCGTCATCCGGAAAGTTTCGGCCTATATTTAGTTGTGCATCAACACGATCCATCAGGGCCGAAAGTCCACCCGCGGCGACGCCAGGAGATCTCGCATCCGGAGGCTGAACCGGCTCGTTGATGCCATCCCCACCCGCTCCTTCTTCATACCCATCTCCCACGCCTAGTTCCATGTGGTCTAGGTCGTCGGCAGACGGCTCCATATCCAGTCCTAGTCGTTGTTGATCGTTGAAAGAAAAACGAATGCATACTACAAGGTGACCCATTTGAATTTCAGACAAAAAATTACACTGGTGCCGAAGTTATTGTATTGTGAAGCTTGCAGGAATCTTACACGGCAGCCACCACACCACAGGATGTGGACTCTCTGTCTTCGCATGAACGGACGCAGTGCCTTCGAAGTTACATGAAGCAGACCCCCGAGTGAGTCATGTGGGGGGGCACCGGGAGAGATGGAGAGATGGCACCCCCCCTCGACCGACGTTGAAGGATCATTTGCCCCCACAAACAAAAGGGCGGGTGGAGAGAGCCCAGTGCGGGGTACACCGACGAAAAACCCGCGACGAGATGTTTCGAAAACGAACATTCTTGGTGTTGGCACAGCTTGGTTGGGGGGGAATCAAGCCTTGAAAGTCACCCTAGGGGGGGTGCCACCTTCCCGCGTCTCACGGTAACCAGAAAAGAAGTCTCATAAGGGAGGGCAGTTGCGGACAAGCGCATATGTGCGATGGCATTGTTAAGAAGCACCATGAGCACTAGACCACTAGTCAGCGAGTCAGCGGCTGACTAGTGGTCTAGTGCTCATGGTGCTTCTTCCCAGGCATCGCCCAAAGTACAATTACCTAGCCAACCCGAGAGCGGGTGTGTGTCCGTATCTCTGTGGAGACGCTGGATTGAAACTTCGATACAAGTCGTGAGGGGGTCAACTGAGGGCTCCAGTGAGCGGCTGGAGCAGCAGCTCAGCGCGGAGACCCAATATCAATGTGAGTGCATGGTGTGTTTCGTGTTTCCAAACGAACCCACTTCCTTCTGTGTTTGATGTCGTGGTATGCATTTACAATCCTTAAGGCATAGGCGTATGCCACGAAATTTGGACAAAAGGATTATCATGAGATCCCTAAATTAGGCTTCCACCTCGGAGCACTCTGCGAAGAAAGGTCGACCAAGCATCGACACAGGGGTTGGGTGACAGAGTCCTGCTTCCGGAGAACAAGGCGAGAAGACGTAACACACAAAGTAGTACCTGCTTGACCTACAAGTCTATACGCTTGCAGCCGTACCCTACATTAGGTCCTCTCTATCCGAATGAACAAATAAAATTGCCCAAACGCGTGGGGAGTCTTTCTCAGGTTGCCACAGCTGAATAGGGTAACGATTTATTGCTCTCCTTGACTCCATCGAGTGTAGTCTGCTACAATACGGACTGCTGTACACTATTTTCTCCACGTCTAACACATGGCATTATTATCAGATTGTTACAGCAGCAGTACATCGAGGGTATACCGTACATGAAATACACCAACATACCTTGGTCGTCGGTCGAAGGTGCACCCCCACCGGGTGCAACTGGGGAAGACGCAGGGTCTACATTACTGGGCGCATTGGCATTGTCGATTGTACTTGCGACACTGGCTCTATTGGACCCGAGCCCCCCGAACAGGCCGACGGGGTCCCTGCAACCAGCACAACGGTCGGCATCCGCCCTTCTCCTCCATCTGATGTTACATTTGCAGCGGCACCCTGATCCCGGGGCAACGAGGCCCCCTAGTGACCCTCCCCCCGCCCTCATGCTAGACAGCGGCGCTGCGTTGTGTGCCCCGTCTACTACTACTGTGTAGGCGCAAGCGAGGATGCCCCCCCACTACCCCCGTATAATCAAAATTTTCAGCGCTGGATAGGGGGGGCTTCGAGTATTCGAACTGTGTATGCTGCGGTGCCCCGTGTCACGCATAGCTGCGCATAGTCGCATTTTGGCGCGCACATCTCGGTTTGACACCGTCGGCGTATGCCTGCGTGACCTCTTGGTTGAAGCCAGCCGGCAACCAGAATTGGACGGGCAACCGCAATGGGTGGCTCTGAGGTGAGGTGTCAGATTGCCGAGTATTTCGATTGGGCGGTTAACCTGTTGAAGTCACGCGTCTGCGCTCTCCTCTCCTTTTTGTTTTTTTTCACGCTCATCGCACATCACCGCCACCACCACGCCCGCCCCACACTGTCACAACCCATCTACCCTCATCTGCTCCCCCTCTCCTGTGTACGGCAACCCAACCTATCCCCATGTGCTGCGATGCCTATCCGCGCTGTCCACCGCACGACCTCCGTAACTCCACTCGGAGAGGTGAACCTGAACCACCACCAAACGCGCGGGAGGACTACTTCGTCCAGGAAGCCATCCCAGAAGACCCCGGCCGCCAGGTCGAAGGGAAAGGGGCGGCCCAGGTCGGCGACCCGCAAGAAGAAGGCTCTACACACGACGTGTCCATCCACGGTAAGCATGTAGGTTCTTTGCGTGCCTTCTTTTGTGCTTCCTTCCAACCTAAACAACTTTCCCGAACAAAGCGTGTCCGGTGGTGTGCCTGTTTTTGTCGATCCATGTCCTCTCTCGATTCGAAAATAACCTACAGAGGTAACCCCCGTTGGCTTTTAAATTCGACATGATTTACGTCTGTACGAGAACATGACCGTAACATGGCCGTACGCATCTCGATAACCGCCTACACGGGCGCGTCGCTTTTGATGCACAAGTTGCAGCGAGTACGGCAGCCAACAAACGGTAGTGGGCATGCGTTGCTAAATTAATATCGATGCGGTGGAGCCCACAGATCGTCCATACAGCAGCATTCCCAATACGCTAGAGGCACGTGGATACAACTATTTATGTACAAGTACGGAGTGTTTCCTTCCCGGCGTTCGCCCACGCCGGCCTCCTTCTAGGGTATGGCTGTCCGGATCCTTTGTAGAGGGCGAGAGTTACAAAGGGTGTGGGCGTTGTTGTGGGTGTGCCAAATGTGAGGTACTGACTGTAGTTGTGTTATATATGGTGAGCCTACCCCTTTTCGGTCATTGAGCCCCTGTTGAGAGCATGGTGTGTGCCACAATACACGAACAATGGGTAAGGGGTCTAGCATATATCGTGTTGCTGTGGGCGCCATCCGAACGTTGATCGATAGGTCGTTGACCCAGTAGAGAACTACAGGGGATGTAGTGTAAAATGTAGGTTTACCTTTTCAGATGTTTTTGTACCTCGCACCAGCTGGCATCACTGACATAATTCATCAGTGTATAGACTTAAACCCAGCCGGTTTTCCTCCACTCACTGAAAATACTCCACCACATCCCGTTCGACTGTGGGTATATCTCGAACGGATAGTCTTTATGCGCGTGTATTTATTTCTCCTTAATCGATATAGATTTTTTGCGGGGGGAGGGGGGGGGGGGATAAACCATCCCCTGCTAAGGTCTGATTCTTTTGTGTGTGTGTTCGTATTGATTGTTGTATCCGACCGCCCCTCGAGGTTTGGAGAAACAAATCGTATCTACTACACGGGGTTCAACCAGGTTTGCTGTCTCGAGGGAAAACTTTCAAAACGCCAGAACGCGGAGATGGCCTGAAAATATGCCCTCCCTCTTAACTCGCTCTGATTGAGAGCTGAAATTGTTAGCATAGGACGAATGAGGGTGGAGAATTGCGAATCAGTTTTGGCCAAGCATAATCGATTGCCGAGTTGTAGAAAAACCAAATCGTTCGAGAATGCAGTGAAAAAACGTTGAAGAGCCCAGAAGGAATTATTTGTTTTTACTTTTTTTGGACGTTGTTTTGGTGGTTCTGAAAGCGATAAAAAAAAAAGTTTGTCACAAATAATTTTTTTCAGCTGAGCAGGGCGTTATTCAACTGCGGATGGCGCCTGTGCAGAGTTGGCTTTGGGCGACAGTTCATACAAATATTTAGTTTTTTCTCCCNAGCTGAGCAGGGCGTTATTCAACTGCGGATGGCGCCTGTGCAGAGTTGGCTTTGGGCGACAGTTCATACAAATATTTAGTTTTTTCTCCCTCCTTTCCCCTCGTCCCCCTCTCGACCCAACAGCCATTCCTTGACCATCGCGCTTGTGGCTAAAGAGGCAAGGTAGGCTCCTCTCTCCTATTGTATATCTTGACCGCGACGTGGATGCACAACAAGCGGGCTTATACTTGTACAGATGTGCCAAGAGCAGGGAAGCAGCCGTCGGCTGAATTTTTGTTGCTAACCCTCCTCCCAGTGCTATTTTTTAAAAGTCACGCGTGCAGACGTCAGCACCTTGAGCAACATGTTACTTGCATGACCATACAATCATTTTCCTAGCCTACATCCCTTTGCAATTGGCAATGGAGGCCAGCAGCAGTCGAAGGTAGCCACACGAGTGTTGATTGGAGCAGCAAACATAGGGAGGGGTGCGGTGCTGCAATTACGTCCGCGCTTGCTTTAATGTAGCTAGGTCCCTCCTACCCCTGCTGTTCGACTTCGCCGTCTATTGTTGCCAACGGGAGAACAGAAAGTTTATTGCGTTCACGTGTGCAGTCCTTCCGCACGTCGCCACCACAAACTATAGCCGCGCTTGGTCATGTGTGCAGAAATGTAATGGGATGCTTGGTTCTGTTGTACGACGTCCGTCGAGTCGCAGCGAACGACAAAATAGTATCCTTCTCTTCCTCTTAGCGTAGGGGCAGCCACACCACCCACACCACACAAGCAGCGAACGTAAACACCCGGTAGTTTAGTAAAATTGGTGAACTGCGTGCGTACCGCCCCAGCATGCCACCCTCTGTTGGCGTTGCGCGATGGATAGGTTCTGGCGGTCGCCATCAAAGTTGCCGCTCCTTTTAGGCAGCTAGCTGCTCTTCTTTTTGCACTGTTGCTGCGCCGCGGCGCCGTGATCTGGAGGCAGCGGCGGTATCAGCAGCAACGGCGCGGACATGTTGCCTCCGTGCCCCACAAGCCCCTTCTACTCTTGTGTGTGCTCTGTGTACTGCTGAACCGGCCAGTGATATGTGTGCGTGCGGTACCCTTCTTCGAATAGTTTGCCCCAAAACGATGACAACCGTATACAACTAAATGCAGCCAAACACCGACGAAGACCTATCAGGAAACCACCGACTCTCCCGACTCTTGACTACCCTAACCCATGTTTTTTAAGTGGCAAATTATGTAGAACGCAGCGAAGAAAAGTAGACCCGGATCTGTTAAGTTTTCCCGTATCCTTCTCCGCTCAAAGGCCTTCCAATATCCAAACCTACATGCGCCCTATCCTTATCGCTCGCATCCGGTCATGACAGGCCACGTACGAAGAACCACCCCAGCCGGAGCCCGAAGAGGAGGAGCCCGAGGAAGAGGAACCCGAAGAAGAGGAACCCGACGAAGAGGAACCCGAAGAAGAGGAACCCGACGAGGAGGAGGCCGAACACTCTGACTCCTCGTACACCCTGGACCCGGACGAGATCGGCAGTGACGACGAGGAGAGCCAGAATCTTCTACGTCCGTCCAACATCGCGCCCATGCGCACAATCCTTGACGTTCGCGTCCCGCGCTCGGCGATCGGCGGAGGAGGTGTCCGCCGGTCCGATTTTGCTCGCCGCAATTCCACCGGTGGCCCTGGCCGCGGAGCCTCGTCCGCACGCGGCCGCCCATCATCCGTCGGCGGCCGCACTGGTCAACCCAGTCTTCTAGCCGGCCGCGGACACAGCAGGGCCTCGGGCGGTGGCGCATCCGGCAGGCCTGGCGCTGGTGCTTCGGACGGTCGCGGCTGCGCGTCATCCGTGGGCGGCGGCGGTCGAAGCGAATGTCTCCTGATGTAGTAAGGCGACGCGCACACTATGTAGTACATGGGCGAGATAACACAGGAACATGGACGATAGAAAATGTGGCTATCGCGTGCAGGCAGGAAGTGTTTGCGCGTGAAGTTTGGGTGGCAAGGTTTCGTCAAATAATATATGGACCGGTGCGAGTAACGCGGACGCCTCCCGTGGGCACAGGGCAACCAGCCCCTGAAGCCGTACACACCTATTGATCAGCGAAGAGGAACATCAAATGCGACATAAAATGGCGAAATGACAAATCGGGGGTTGAAATCGGCAAAAAAAAAACAAGAGAAAACAGGAAGAACCTCACTCAGAAATAAAGACGCAGAGCCCATGCCTCCTGCTCTCAACCCGATGCCAAGGCTACGCAACGATAAAACAGTTACCTCATCCTAGACCACTGCAACTAGGCTCGCGGCCGAAGTCCAAGCATTCCCCACAGATTAACAAAAAAAACAATCGGTGGTGATTATAAGATCAGTCCACCAGCGCGTGCATGCTCCACTTCCACTCGAACAAGAAAAAAAACAAGAAAAAGTCAATACGTTTTACTACCCTTCTTCTCATGATAAAAGAAACCACTCACCACGTCGGGGCTGATGAGCTGCAGCAAAAGGCCCAACAGCGCGGCCTTCGCCGCCTTGGGCACCAGCGCAGTGTCAAGCGCGTCAAGAGGTTTTGTCCGGACATATCCATGTTGATGGTTGATTCCCCGCCAATGCCCGTCTCGTGGCACTCCTCGCTGTTGTGGCGCTCTTGAACAGATCGCTTACCCAGGGTGCGGAAGGTCGTGGTGCTCGCCCCGGTCGAAGTGGAACCACCGCCCGTGGGACCACCGGACCTGGTACCGCCACTGCTGTGTGATGTACCAGAAGCTGAACTCTCGTTGCCATTGATGCCAGTCGACACATGTCTGGATTTAGCCTGGTGTCTTCCTGCGCTCTGATCCGATGACACACCACTGGTTGACTCGCCACCTTCCGAAGAACCAGCGCCCGGCCACCCGGAGGGGGCACCGCCCGAGGCACTGCCAGAGCCGCGGCCGCCGAGTAGACCGGATAGTCGACCGCCGCCGCCCACGGATGACGCGCGGCCCATGCCCTATAGCAGCACGGCCGAACCCTGTTATCCTGTGCAAGTTGTGAAAGGGACTGTTCACTTTCCTCCCCCAGGAGAGAGCACCATTTATCGCTTGCATCTTCAAAAAAAAAAAAAACGGCCGTGTTCGGTGTACAGCAGTAGATTGCTGGACCAACGGTATAATAATGCCGGGGCTGTACCCTAGAGGCAAAACACACCTTACAAGACTAAATGTATCGTAGAAATGACTGGTACAACCCTGGTTGTGTCGACACCCTGGCAGAGG